AAATGAATTCAGAACCTAAGACGACTGATGAAAAGATTTTGTTTTATCACCGTTATATTGAAGCTTTAAAATTTGCCAATGGATTAAAGAAACATATCAGAGATCCAAACTTCAGCTCAGATAAAGTAAGTATCTCAAAATCCTACAGATTTGCACCTGCTTTGTTGCATATAGTATGATTCTAAGTGACGAAACGGGTGAAAGGAGCAATACCACATGAGTCTCTGCTCTGCCTGAACCCACTGCTCCACCTCCGCCTGCAGCTCATCCACAAACCACATCCCACCACAGTCGGTTTGTGCACATTGATAATGAGTTGTGGTCTGAAGTGTTGTTTTTTTTTTTTTGTTTGTTTGTTTTGTTTTTTGTAATATCTCTGAGCTTTGCACAGTCGGACTTTGGGTTAATTTGCTGGGGTGAGATTGTGACTTTGTGTTAATGATCAGTTTATCAAGGGCATTTGCATATCACTACTTACCCTCTTCTATAAGCTCTTATAGAAGCACTGAGGATGTATTTATTATTTTACTGCATAGAGTACTCTGAAAAAATGCTTTGTGTCTCAGCTTTTCCCAGTAACTCTGCATTTTTATTCTGAGCAGTGATGTAACTTTTAAAACCTATAAGTATAAATAAATGTTTTAAAAGCAGATAAACCTAAATTACTTCTATATTTGTCTCTAAGTATTTTAGTATGTATTGTTATTAATATTATGATTATTGTTAATTTTGTGTAATTCCAATGCTCTGTATTTCACACAGATGGCAAAGAATTTGACAGAGGATCGCTTTGCCAACCACATACGGAGCTTGATCAGCAGCGACAAGACTCACGATTCCCAGTATTACGGCAAAAACTCGTATCTGGACAGCATCGGCACCACGCATGTATCTGTGCTGGCTGAAGATGGATCTGCTGTGTCTGTCACCAGCAGCATCAACGACGAGTCCGTACCTGCATCATTCTGTTTCACTGTTAGAAACCAGCTGACTTTTCCACAGCAGTGTCACAGGGTTTAGACCTCGTTCATTTAATGTTTACTCTTTACAGGTTTGGGTCCAATGTCCTCTCTTCAAGCACTGGAATCATCCTCAACAACCACCTAAATGACTTCTGTGGTAGAGCTGATAACATCTTTCATGGTGAGAGATCAGCAGGATTCCTTCTAAATTTAATATTTATTAACAAATATTCTGGACCTCAGTTCTGATTTGTATAGTACTAATTTGCAATTTTAATTCCTCTTCTAAACTAATGTGTTAAGCATGGTTAATATAACATATACTTGATAAATATGTTTGTACATGTTAGCATGTTGCAACATAAGAAATTTGAAAGAAAATACAACAACACCTGGGGAAACTGCACACCATGGATTTTTAATCTAATAGTACCAAAAAAAGCACCATTGAGGAAATTAGAGGAGAAAATGTCATTTCATAATTCATTGTGGCGCATCATGTTTTGTTGATCGTGAAAACAATCAACAAAACTGCCAAACTTAAGCACATCAGGTAAATTTGAATTAAAATGGCATTTTTCATTTAATGTCATAGCCTGCTAAAATGTTTTCAATGTTCAAAAACAGGCACAGTTGAGTGAACATCTATAAACACAAATGACATAAGCTCTCTAAATCTGTCCTGTCTTCCTCACCTCACTCTTCAGCTGGTCACAGCAGATGCTGCCCCTCTGTGAGCCTGGTGCTGTTGGAGGTTTCTTGCTGTTAAAAGGGAGTTTTTCCTTCCCTCTGTCACCAAGTACTTGCTCACGAGGGGCTCATCTTATTGTTGGGTTTTGTCTCCATTGAAGTGGGTTAACCTTAGAGATGGGCCGATCTGATATTGCGTATCGGTATCGGTCCGATACTGACCTAAATTACTGGATCGGATATCGGAGAGAAATAAAAAATGTAATCCGATCCATTGAATATCACAAAAGCACCTCACAAAACTTGCGACATAGCGTAACCCAGCTTATAACCTTGTAGCACATCGGAGCAGTATGCGTCACGTGATAGAGCGGCTGTAGCGTGCGACACCTGTCGGCAGTCTGGATGAGCATTTGAAGCCTCACTACGTGCTTTCAAACCAGCATTTCATCTCACAGAAAGCTATCCCAGAGAAGTAAAGCAAGTTAACCTTTGAATGTTTGTAAAGCATTCCCACGTTAAGCTTAACAACTGATATATGGAGCGACTGCCTCTCATTCTCTCGCTCTCCTGCTGCTACTTCAATCATGAAACTGATCAGTGATCATCTGATCGGCTTTTCTGCTGCAGGCCGACTCTCTTGTTTGTCTATCGCCCACTTTACGCCAGAAAGAGGAAATGATAATCAGCAGCAGCTGGTTTAAACTTGATAAGCTGTTGTTAGAATGTATTTAATATTAGTTTCTACAACAGGATCCTTTCCTACGTAGCTGACAGCTGGTAACTGTGCAGGGGCGGGTCTAGCAAAGTTTTGCCAGAGGGCCAGGTAGGGCATTAACAGGGAAAGGGGGCACAGAGACATACTTTTCTTTCCTATTCTAATGTCTAGTTAAAAAAAATTATCTGAATCGTACAACCAAAGTTTTCATCTGATGCAAAATGGATAGAAATGTATTATTGTATATAGTAACTATTAAGTCTAATATATACCCTAGTAATAGTAGTGCCTACAGTACTTTTTCCTTTGGGAAGGTACCATCTGTGCAGTCTGCAATTCTGTTGAAGAAAGATGTTGAATCGATTTAATTATTGTAGAAATATAATTGATTCCTGTGCATTTGTTTTACACGTGCATTAAATTAAAGTCGATTAAGCCTCATGAGGTGGAGGGTGATTCCCTGTTATTTTTTTATTTATTTTTGGCAACCCTATTAGTTTGGTTCTTTAATATTTCTGCTAAGTACTTTTTAAAATATCAGAATAGGGAGGATGGTGTAGGTTCATGTTTATTAGATTAATCAGTTTTGCTGAACTACGAAATATTTCGGGTGCAGTGCATTTTTTCTATTCTATTCTGTTATACAGATATAACAGAATAGCTTTAGCTTGATCTTCTCATCATCCAGAGATTCATGGAGACATTTTAAACAGTAGTTTTTCCTGCTATTCAAGGTCTTTGTTGTATTTCTCAGGGGAGCAGCCTCCCTCCAATATGGCCCCATCTGTGCTGAAGTCTCAGTCGACGACACTGGTGATTGGAGGCTCTGGTGCTGAAATGATTCCACCGGCTGTGGCCTCGGTACGTATGCATGGTAAACACACAAAGGTGCTATTACATATTAAATAAAATAAATTGATGCGGCCTGATGCCTGTCTTTGCTGTTAAAGCTTGCATCATAGTAACAAGATTCTTCAACCTAATTTATCCTGTAATCATCACATTCTCACCTCATAGATTTATTTTTTCTCTCCTAGGCGCTCATGAACCACCTTTGGTTTGGAAAGAACCTTAAGGAGGCAATTGATACTCTGGTTGTTCTTGTAGACTCTCAAAGTGAAGTAAAACTTGAATCCAAGCTTGAAAAGGTAATATTTTCAGTTTATTTAAATGACACATTAATAATTTCTACTTCTCTTGTTCCATCTGAGTCTCTCTCCTCTTTGCCCTGCAGGATGTAGTTGATGGTCTTGAAGCTCTGGGACATAAAGTAGCAAAATTCTACAACACAGTTAACGCTGTGGAAAAGGCGGACAACTGTATCTCTGCATGGTCTGATGAAAGGAAAAAAGGCAAAGCTGCTGGTTACTGAGACCAAAAGTCAGTGATGTCAGTTATACAGCATGGTCTTAAGGTTATGATAGCAGAGCTATAGGCTTTAATTTTTTCGAAATCTCTCAGTCAGAACCTGGTGTATTATGTTTAAGTGGAAACTAGCGAGCTAACTTCCTGTTAACTTCTAGCTCTGTAAAATTTCATAAATTCTGTTTTCATGGATGCCTGGATGTTAAACGTAATAGTTACACCTGGTAGAGCAGAACACTAATCATTTTATTAAAGATTTATTTTTAGATTTAGACAGTTTGTAACTCTCAATGATGTCACAGTGATCCTTTGACTGTGGGACCCAGAAACGGTTAATGACATCAAACTTAAAGACCTGATAACTATTTCAAACTATTTACAGAACACCAATATGAAAGGGTGGTTTTGTTTTTTAAATTTTTGCTCACAAGTGGAGGGTGCTTTTGAGCTTTTTCTACGTTTTTACTGATTCTTCTCGCAGCAAACACAAACAACGATAGTATTCTGGAAAAAACATTAAATATATATTTTTTTATCATGACTCTAGTTTTACGTGGCCTATCAACACACTTTTAACACAAAAGTGAAGACTCAGGGTTGTCTTGGGTTGTTGCTATGTCATCTTAAATTGGTCATGTGATTGGTTTATCATGGCTATTTTTCCTCAGCAAATCAGCAGCACTTGTGCGATTGTTTC